TTATTATGATTAAGTCGATTATTTACACATATCGGGAAGTTCATGTAACTTGCCTCAAGGCTAAATACCAATACCAACTAGTTTTATAAAATAGTTATTCATTTATTACCCTATCCATAGCTAATGCACTTTCGATAGGCGTCAAAAGTCTCCGAATATATTCTTCTGTGACCAATTCAGGACAATGCGGAGAAAACTATGCATAGCGACGATAATGCACCCAGCCCTCCCTTCTAAAGTGACCTAAATAATGAAATTGCCATTAATACAATAAGAAAAAATGTACAACAAAATGTAGAAAGTATTCTGTATTATTTCAAATTCATAAATGTAAAAAGTTGGCTGTTCCAAATACCTGCCATGTAAATGCATCACCACGTGATTTTTCTGATTCTAATTCCTTAGCAGATCTTGGGAAAGAATTTCTCCACAAACAATAACATGCGTGGTAATAGACCTTTAACAACTGGTATACCTAATGATATAATTTTATTGAAACATGAATGAGGCTAATGATTTTAATAATAAATTTGCATTAACTTATCTAACCTAAAGTCATTATGCTACCAATAAGAAGCCAGCCAGCCTGGGTTCTGTTCAAAGATAACCTGCTATTTTGACTAGCTGATCTTAATAATTCTTCCGCAGTATTAAAAACAATTTTTCCTTTCGTGTGAGGGATTCCTAAAGGCGAGTAACGCACACTGCTAAGCACTGCAGCCAGTGCACTACTGTAACCTGTTCATAAAATAGCAGTGAATACTGAGCAATTACTACAGTTATATATTGCTTATAAGATAGTTTTCAGCAAATAATCAAAATAATTGAAATATGTGTTTATAATATTTTCATTAGTACCTGCTATTGCTTCAGGCAAGGTGTTCATACTTTCAATAGCTGCAACACAGCGATCGATAAGAGGAGTTATTTCACTAGGCACTGCAATACATATGCAGCGCAAACACCCAAGCTGCAGCCAACCTCGCTGCCTGGCAAGGGTGCACTAATACAGATACCGTAGCCTCAATTAGATTCAAAGAGGAATCATGAATTAAATTTGTGCTTGTGTACCGAGTCTTAAAATAAGACGGCCCATTTCTTGTAAAGCACACACTAGCAGATGTTGCCCAAAAAGAGTTTCCTGCAAATCATAGTTTGTTAAAATTTTCAAGTAAACATATTTATATATATATATATATATATATACATATATATATATATATATATATATATATATATATATATATATATATATATAAATATATTTATTGATACATACTGGTAAACCTACATAGTCATGGGAAATCAACAAACCAAACGTCAAATTTTTAGAGATGCTTTTTGAAAGGTAAGGGCTACTATCATGTTATAATAATTGCATCGTATTATTTTTTTTTCAATATAGCTTTTATATATTCAGATATAAAGTTGCTTAGAAAGCACAAAAAAGTAAAATAATTAAACTAATTTTTAATCCTAAGTTATATGATGGCATTACAATTTACAAAAGTAATATTTTATTATTCTTTATGCTTAACTTTGATCTTAATTTCAAATGCATTTATTACTATTGCACGAATTCTCTGCTTATATTTTCTACAACACTGAGCATAAAATGATAAAAAAAATAGAAATACATTACCTACATACATTAACAATTGATATAAAGAAATGATTTTATAAAAAAAATAAATTCATTAAATTTTTAATGAAATTGATCTTCATTAACTTCCCGCCGGGTGAGCTACAGTAATCACAAAAAAAAATCGAAAATGAAAATTTTAACATATCTTTACGTTTCAAAGGTTTCTGATAATTTTGGCAAAGGAAATGCCTTTACTGTGTGGAAATACCTTACGTGTGTGTGTGTGTGTGCGGATACAAATTGTCGTCGACGATTTTGGGAAGATGAATCAACCGATTTGAATCATTCAAAAACCATGCAACTCGTATTGATAAGGAGACGTGCTGATTAGTTTTTGGCAAAGGCAGGTCTAGCCGTTTCGAAGACGAGGCAAAAAGAGCCAAAAATGGTTTAAATAACTTTTACTCTTCCTAGAAATGCACATATACTTGTTAATTGTATTTACCTGGTTGTAGTCTTTTGCATTCTCTGGATTAAAATCTAATGAATTCATTTGTTTAACTATGATGTGAACTATTTCTTTGCAAGAGGATGACTGCGCTTTCTCACTGAGCATTTTCCCCAGGACAGAATGCAAAATGAAACTGATGCATTTTCGTGAGTAAACAGCATCAACATGAGATGATGCAACTTTGGGATTAGCAACTAGATCCAGAATATGTGTTAAAAATGTTGTTAAATTACGTTCCAACCATTGAACACCCATTGCTTGAACAAACACGATGTAGGCCTAATTGAAATATATATGCATAATAAATATTTCAATAAATAATCATGAGTCCCAATAAAATTTATACTGCAACAGTCCACAAACTTACATAAGTTACACCAACTCGTACTTCACGATTGCCACTAGAACCTCCTTTAATCATTTCTCCAGTGCCTTTCAAAAATGAAATTCCCCCTCGTAGAAAACCTGACATCAGCAAACTCAAAGCTTCCTCCAAACTCACTGTTTTAATGGCATATTTGTTTTGATGGCCTGAAATTTATAAAAAAAATAAAAATATAGATGTATTCTTGAATTGAACATTATTGTATTTAAACAATTTATACATCACTTTATAGATCTCTTTGAAAAACAAATAAATATACAAACTTTAATTTCCTAATTAAACATTTGAACCAGGTATAATTGAAAATGAGCCCTTTCTTCAAGTTTCAAACTAAATATTAATGTAACCGTAAAAGATCAGCAAAAATTGACGTGTTTATATTCTGATCTAAAACTATACATCTATAACAAAAAACAATAAAAAAAAAGTTGTTTTTCATTTTGTATTTTTGAGCAGTGCAGTTGGGTTATTTGAACTAATTTTTAATTAGCACCATTCGAAAGTACCTTTTTTTTATCAAGTAAGTAAAATATCTTAAATACATTAAATAAAATAGTAAAAATATAATAAATAGAATATCTGTATAAAACAGCACACAAAATGTCATCATTTAAAACTATTCTCCTTATTGATTTACTTTTTTAGTAGTAAAACTAACCAATATCAAAATATTATTATTAGTTAGCTATGAAGAAACGTAAAAACTAAACAAGATATCAATAATTTACACCCATCGCAAATAAAAAAATAATTATAATTGCATAATTATGATAAAAACCTAAAGATTTTTCGTCTTGGCATTGGATAGCAGCCATCAGGGTGCCAAGAAGTCTAGCAACAGTGCAGTGAACTTCGTAATTGCTCCCATCAAAGGCTCTAAAGCAAAGTGTCACCAAAGCCTCAAAATCAGCATTAGCTGTTTGAAGCAGCATGTAGGAGAGTTGACGTTCCTGTTGTGAGTTATCATTAAGCATTTCCAGCAAGCATCGAGCAGCCGAACAACGAACTGACATGGCACGATCCGTTAATCCATGCTTACAAGCTTTGTATACATCCTTGTACACGCTCGAAATTACTGTGCCCATTCCCGCACACAACTAAAATATTTTTTTACATTGAATGATAAATTATGAAAACTTGTTATGTATTGAGTCTCACACACCAATTACATGTCCAATTACATTAATATATTCATATATGATCTAATGTGAGTCACAAATAGTTTTAACATAATACTTTAAGTTCATGATAATACTATACTATGTATATATAATACTATATACTATGTATATATAATACTCTTCTATGTATCTTAAAATAGCCAGTCGTCATCGGATTAATACAATTTTGTTGATACAATTAAATGTATATCAGACACAAATGTATGTATTTACACAAACAAACACATACATATGAATCTCACATAATACAACACACTTTATGTATGACGGGGGACCAATAAAGAAAATTTTTGACTTAGCTTTCCTTAAAAATTTTGCTCCTTTTGTGAATGGTTTACTAATATTAAGTTTGTTTTAATCAATGCAAAGATTCAATTTAAGCCTACACTTTTCTAAAACCTGGAACAAAAGTTTTAAAGCCGCAACAAACATTACTTTTAGAAAAAAACCTAGTAAACAAGCTCAAAATCCGGGTCTGTCCTGGCCAAAATGAGACAATATATATATGTACAGACATGCATACATATTCATACATTGCTCTGCTCTTACATATAATTCTAAGGGTATTGCGCTTAATTCAAATATTAATTTACTTTATTGAGTGTAACCATGATTTCTGCTCTTGTTTGAGATTCGGCATGCTTCAGACTTTTGGTTAGTATTTGTATTGTTTCTTCATATGATCGCCCCATCATCCTTCCCAAACTTTCATACATACATCCCAAAACTGCAATTGCAGTACTAAAATAGATTTGGAAAAAAAAAATTTACATCAAATATTTATAAACATATATAAATATAAACTTACAAGCAACTTACAGTTTTGTTGAAAGATAGCTCGATGTATCATCTCGATGTCTAAGAATCTCATTGCATTTGTTAACAGTGTCAAATAATAAAAATGTATCCCCAAGAGAAAAAAGAGTAGCCAAACAACGTGCAATTAAATTTCGGGTAGGTGGCCCATGAGGGCATTGCATGCGTACAGTTAACTGTTCTACTAACTTATTTTGGCATTCTCTGATATGTGACTGCAAAAATATACTTGAATAAATATATACGCATATACATAAAGACACAATGTTGTATATTTATACAATGGTTTGTCTTGTCATCACTGTGAGAAAGGAACAAATGCAAAACCATGATGACTAAAATCTTAAAAATTTTTATGAGAAGCTGTTCAAGTTATAAAAGTGCGTTATTTTCATTATTATACAAACTTTATACATTATTAATTTTCATAGTAAATGAAAATAAAAACTACAATTGAATTTTTTTCTGCTGTTTGTAACATGAAGTTCAATATTAATACATAACTAAATAGAATTATAAATAAGTCTTAAATAACTTGAGTTTTATGAATAAAACTAGGTTAGAAAATTTTACAAAAAACTAGCTCAGAAGAGTATAGTACTTGATAAATAATATTGCTGTCACGAATTGCTTTTACTTATTAAATAATCATATATGTATAAAATTCAAATTCATTTTAAAACACATTTTTGTATCATACAATTAAGACTTTGCAATTTACAATACTACTTTGTGATTATCACATTTAACTAAATTATATACAAACCTTTTGAGACAATGGTAAAGTTTCATCTAAAAACCGTAGCCATTCAAACACAAACACTTGCTGCTTCGCTTCTGGTAACTTGGATAAAGCTTCATCGTTTAATAACAAACTACGTGATAAATCCATTATTAAGATTCTTACAAGATTGACAACATATTCCTCAGAAAGTGATATGTAACCATTTTTAGTTCATGACTAAATGTCATCCCTGTCATTAGAATATTATTCAATACTATAATTTATAAAAAGAATAAAATTAATATTGAAAAGATATTTCCATTTGTACATTTAGGTTAGAACGTAACCATAAGAAGTTCACAAATCCTGTTGCTGTGTAACGATAACAAAACTCGCAATTCGCAATGCAGGCAATGCAGATGCAGGCAGTGTTGCCAGGTCCACCATAGAGAAAAACTGTAGATAGGCCAGAAAAAAACTGTAGAAAACTGTAGATTCAAATTGAAAAACTGTAAATCTACAGTTTTATCATTAAATGATGGTAATATTATATAGTTATAATAGAATATTTATAGCAACTAACAAAATATAACATTAGTGGTATTTTTGAAAAAAAAAGTTGAAAGCAATAATGATCTTTAACGGTTTTGTTATATTCATTCATCTCAAACATCGTTACGTGTCAAAAAGCGATAATTCTTGAATATAGGTTTTCCATCGTAGCTTACACAATATATTGTATACTTCATTAATTATTTATTATTTCATGTTATTATTAATAAAGGTACTCTTCTTTTATCTATGGGTAGATTTGAATCAAACTTAACTAGTTGAGTGTTAAACGTTACAAAATGCAATGAATAATTTTATTTAAAATATTGATTATTTAGATTATATATTACATTCGTAAATGTTGAAAATATGACTATTTGATAACCATATGTTTCCAACGCATTAACAAACCAGTTGGTTTTTAGCTTTAATTTTAACAATCGGGCTCGCCCATAGGTAAAAGCGGTTAGGAGCGACGGGACTTGTTTCAGAGGTCACGGGTTCGATACCCACTTCGAGCAGCCTGTTGTCAGGCAACGATTTTCACTTGGAAATATAGATAGCAATATGTTTCCAAGTGAAAATAGCCCTTGCCCGGCATTGCTGCACCAATAAAGAGTCAGCCCTATTAGATTAATTCTAATAACAAAAATCATCAAATATGGATGGATTAACCATTGGGTTACCATCTAAAAATACGAAGTTTCAGCCCAACTGCTCAAAGGACATAAGGTTCTGATTGCCGTTAAAAAATAAAAAAAAATAATAATAATAATAATAAAATCGGTTTAGATTGACTTACAGATACAAGAAATGACTTACAGAAGGAAAATATTTAACAACAGAAAGGTTGGTTAGTTAACGAGAGATAAACGGTTGAATATCATTTCGCTTTTCGCCGCTAGTCATGCCGTTTTTCTTTGCGTTGACAGTCAAGCATGAGCTATAGAGCTTCTCATATTAGCGTATACTATTAAAATAATCGATGACCATTATCTCTAGTTTAACAATAGTAGTTTTGTTGAAGTTGACTCAGTGCAACTGCCACTAAGTTCTGCATAACAAATAAAATAAACGGCGCTAGCATCTTCAGCAAAAAAACTGTAGATTTCGAGCCCAAAACTGCAAAACTGAGATCATTTCCAAAAAACTGTAGATCTACAGTTAAAACTGTAGACATGGCAACACTGGATGCAGGCCACTGTGTCATTTTACGAGAACTAACCAAGGCAACCAATGGCAACCGATATCTCAAAATGACTCACGCTGTTTGAAGTCTTCAAGTAAAAATGCAAACGTCAAAAACCAATGTAAGTCTGCAAGTAACTGCAGTTTGTTCACTCCGCCAATTTGACACATCATTGACATCTGTCTACTGTCTGTGACTGTGATGAACAGAAACAGAATAGAATCCTAGACAATATAATAATCATAGATAAAAGAAGAGTATAAGTGATAATAATATAGACATTTCAACAGAATGTAGACGAACTACATATAGATTAGACGAAATCGTTATTATAAATACTGTAACATTGTTCAATATTTATAAGAATTATATCTACTGAATCACAAAGTCAAAAATATTTATTTCAAGTATGCGATGCGAGCTTCAAAAATATTTAAATTATTATATTTAAAGTATGTTAATACTTTAATCTGAATTATTTTCGAAGTACAAAAAAATGATTTATTTTCCAAAAGCAATTGTTTTGTCAACAGAAAGTTTTTTGAATCATTCAATTCGGATGCTTTATTTCTCTCAAAAACTGCCATTTTTTGTACATTTAGCTCTGAATCGAAAATGAAAATTTTTGCATATCTTTACGTTTTGAAGGTTTCTGAACATTTTTGCATACCTCAGAAAAAATTGATGTGTGTGTGGATCAACCGATTTATTGCTATGTTATGTTTATTTATCTATGGATGTGTGCGTGTGTGTGTTTTGTGTGCCCGCATTTTTTCGTCCACGTTTTCGGGTGCACAGATCAATCGATTTGAATGGTTCAGAAAATATTCGATTCCTATTGATAGAGAGATGTGCTGATTTGTTTTTGGCAAAGGCACGTCCAGTCTTTTCGAAGATCCAGAGCTAAATGTACAAAAAATGGCTACCTTTACCTTTCTTTACTTTTATTTGGTACATAATCCATTCCTTTATATTAAAAAAAAGTTTTTTACTTAATATTCTGTATTGTTCGTCATTAATAGAGTTAGTAGTTAGTCTATATAAAAAAAATGTTTTCACCAGAAGAAACCTGATGATGAAACGTATCTAGTTCCGAAACGTCCTTTAAACATCTACCAAAGACAAATTATTTTTCATTTATTGGATTTATTGTTCGGAAAAGAAACATATATCAATTTATTGAAAAAATCCAGGACTTGTCTATTAAATGTGTATATATATATATATATATATATATATATATACATATACATATATACATACATAATTATATAATATATTTGTACAAGTTTTATCTTCTATTTCTATTTATTTTTGATTTATATTAAGTTTATTTTTTATATTTGTACAAGTCAATTTTAATTTTGTTTACACCTCATAAAATAATAATATTACCGCTTATAAAAGCGAAATACCGATATCGAATTTTTTCATCGGTATTGCATTTCTTACATATGTGTTTCTTCAAATATAATAGGATTGCAGTTACATATACACCGTATAAAATGAATTTAATATTAAAAGATAAATTTTATTACAGATCCAACAGTTAGCAAATATAGTGTCTGTATGACGTTTGGTGAAAAGTTTTCTTTTTATTTCAGAACTGATAATTTGTTTTTTTTTTTCTTTATGAATTGAAGGTACAATACAACATTTAGAAAAATATATTGATTTGTTCTAAATATTAAGAATACTTAAATATAAAGTCTATATCATTTTAATAAAATCATTACATATTCTAAAAAAAAATCTATGCATCTACATGTAGTGTGTTTTGTTTAAAATACCAATGAGCCGAAGATATTGACATTTTAAAACCCCTAAGGATTGCCGTACACCAGTGATTCCCAAACATTGATGGGCTATGTTATAGGATTTCTAGAAACTTCATGAAAACTAATTTTTCAACTTTTAAAAGTTGTTTTGTTCCTAAAGAAATGTAAATCATAAGTTTTAAGAATAAATCACTATTAAATTGTTATCAAAACATTAAAAGTAAATTTCAAAACGTGTAATAAAAACCGGAATCCCAAATTAATTTTATGCCGGGTACTATTAGCGTTACACGCGGGTGTACAGGCTCTGATTGTTCAATTTTTCAATTAGTTACACAAATTTGATCTGAACAATATTTGCGGTATTAGAAGAAAAAACAATCGAACAAAACGCACTACCCGAAAACATCAATTGAAAACATATTTTATCCTTTTTAGCTAATACTAAATATTATTTGGCATCAATTGTTCTACATTATGTGGTCTAAGCAGGTTATAAAAACTTTTATTTTTGACATTTTCAAAAATTGAAGGTATGATGACGCTACCGCGAGGTCCTTACCGGAACGGTACTTTCTTAATAGACCGATAATAAAATATCATATAAAAAAATTATAGCTTTGTGAAAACATGTTAGTCGAATAGTTCGCTGGCTCTTAGACATTAGGCTCTAACTTATTTAGCTTTAACCTTAAGCTTATACATTTTTTAAATAATGTGTATTTCTTTTTGATTATCAATAAATCATTAGGAGCAAAAATTCCACTTTCAGTATTATTTTTATTTTTTTCCCATTTGGTTACATTTGAGCAATCGGTTTCGGTTTCTTCACAAAGCCATTTCTTGATGACTGTATTTAGCCAGTTGAAATTTTGGTAACGTTTAATATAATTATAGCAATTTTTATGATAAATTTAAGTAACCATAATTTTTAATTTCAAAACCGGAACGGAAACTTGTAGTTAAACAAATCCGAGACAAACAAGGCGCTAAATAAATTAAATATGATTTTAAATATCAATCACTATTTAAGAATACAATAATCAAGATCAGTATTTTTTAACTAATCTAATTTTTTTTTGCTGATTTTTGTTATTTTGTAACTTCAATATTATTAAAGTTAGATATTTAAACCCTTTAAATTTAAGTTCATAGTTCATCATAAGCATTCTCATCCCATAGGATAGGGCGGGGCACAAAGATCCATTTTGACTTTTAGCAATTATGCTGTAAAAACCAAACCAACTACATTGTGAATACATAACACATAACAAATAACTATCTAAGTGTGTTCAGTAAAATTCCCAGTTTATGCAAAATTGTAGAAATAGTTTTTTCTGTTTTTTAAATATCTGTCACATGGCCCTTTTTACCCCCATAGGCAAAGTAAAAAAGTTTACCATTTTATTTTTAATTTTTTGATAGAATAATGAATATGCTATTCAATAAATGCAATGCAGTTCAATTATTAAATTGAACTACAAAATTAAAAATTATATTCTAAATATATATTATTAAAATCAGTAAAAATAAATCGTTATTAACTCCGACTACTATAATAAATCTTGGTTTTATTTATTTATTTATTTGATGCCAATCTTGTGTTTTTGTAGATATTTCTAGTTAAATCATAATCAAGCTCATTGTTTCATAAAACAACTATTACAAAATTGTTTCACAAAACAATTATTACAAATAAGGTAAATATAACTTCTGTTTGAAATACATATTTCATGGGCACATTTTTTTTTTATAAAAATCACATTGAATACAACATTCATATGGAACTTTGTCAGAAGGATTCATCCTCAATCTTAGGATAACTATTAATTCAATTTATCTCTTGTCAATTCGTCATTTTTAACTTATTTCACCTTAATTTATACAACTTAGTTTTTTTTATTTACAATTTTCTTTTTGCACCTTTAGTTTATTTGGTCCTTTTTACCCTAACCACATGAAAGGTATTTTAGAGGTTATATAAATGAAAAAGAGGAATATAACTTAAAAAAAAACACATGTTATAAAACAATTGAATAGTGTCTACTTAATTATATTCAGGTATTTACCATACCTACTAAACTACTTTGACTTTCGTTGAAATAATTGACAGTGTGTTCTTTTATCTCATAATAGCGACGTCAGCCGATTTAAGGGGATTGGTTATTGGTTGGTTACAAATCCTTTGCCCTCTAGTTTAAAATAATATTGTCAAAAAATTCCATACTTTACTTGTTTTTGAGATAATGATGGTGGTCCTTTTTGCCTGCGGACCTTTAAGCCCCGCCACACTACCCTATATCATTTTCAGTTATTTGTTGGGTAATTGTAATTTTATTATTAAATAATAGGAAAAATTCATGTTCAAGCTATACTTTTCAAAAATTCAGACCAAGCCAGAAAAAAAGCCCTAAAGTGATTCCCAATATGCACCTCACGTTTGGAATCACTGCTGTAGTCAATTAGCTCATACGATCCATAAGTTTTTCGAGGTTATAATTTAAAATTATTCTAACGTAACTATATATAGCATTTGTTATGTATAAAATTAACCTAGATATCAATCCTTGGTCGATATTGCAGTCGAAGTGGTGGATCCCGAAACCTCCATCGTGTAACATAAACAAATTTTAATGTATGATCTTTTCCTAACAATTCATTATTGCACAAAATATCAACCTGAAATAATTAACTATTATTATATATATATATATATATATATATATATATATATATATACATATATCATAAATAACTTACATCTCTATATTTGTCCATGCCATTTAAAATTTTTTTAGCAACAAACTTTTTCAGGTGGGTGATTGTTGCTTGAGCTGAGCATCTAATAAATCTACGTTTTAAGGTTTTAAAATTAGTGCTCATACATTCTAAACAAACATTAACTTGTTCGTCTTGCCTATGATAATCGGTTTCTATATGAACATCTGTAGTTGACAGTTGTTCATCGGGTTCCCCTGGTACAGGAGGTAAGTCTTTAGGAAAAGGTAGACCCCTCAGCCGATAAAAATCACGCTCACGTTTATTCTCATCTTGAAATATACAAGTGTTAAAAATATTTCTGATGAAAATATTAATCATTCTTAGTGCAAATAATTAGACTTACTTTCCTGGAGATCAGGGACCAATTTGAAAACTATATCTTGCATAGTTCTATCAAAACTTATGTATTGCAGGGGGTGCGATTGATGTATCACAATAGTACATGTTGGACACGAGTTATTTTCCTCTAGATGCTTTACTAAACAACTTTTACAAACTGTAATTGCAAAACAGTATTAAAAAATTTAAATATAATAACTAAAATTATAAATAATAATAACATACATGTATGAAGACACTCCGTTACAGTTGTTGCATCTATAAAATATCCCCGGCAAATTTTACATGTAATGTGATTATTTAGAGTCTTCAATTTAATTTTGCGCTCCATCATCATGTTTTAAGAACAACACATTTCAAAACAAAGTTACTCTTGATATATGTAATATTCAAGTCACTTCATAACTCGTAAAGTATAATTTTCCACACATATTTGACACACGTTCCGAGTCATAATGATAATAAACTTAAAAATAATATGTTACCGAAACTATTGAATAAAAATAAAGTGACAGCGATCACAGCAGAAAACATGTACGAAGCATTAAATAAATTTGACTTTAGTTTGGATTTGCACAATAATGCCAACATGAACATGATAACCATAGATACAAGTAGAAAAAATAGATCAAGATCACAAACACGGCCGCTAATCAAAAACCATAAATGAATGAGTGTCAATTTTCTTTATTTTAATTGTTTTAATGCGCAATTAAAAAATATATACAACTCTAAATTTTCGAATAATCAAATAATTTTTCACTCAGTTTTTTTATACTGAATTTCTATACATATTTTTCTGATCTTATATATATATATATATATATATATATATATATTTTGTAGAGTTTCGAACAAGAATCCAAAAATAATACAAAATAAAAAACAAGAAAAGTTTTTAAAAAAACAATTTCTTTATTTAATTATTTGTTTATTGTCGACGTTTCGGAACTAGGTACGTTCCATCTTCAGGACATCTGTCAAGAAACATGATCTTGATGAGATTTTTGCAAACAATATGTTTAGGAAAAGAAAATAGATTTTTCTTAAATAATGAATTAAATTGTAAAAAATATAATAATGTACAGAAATATGATAATATGTTCAAAATAAAAATGATAAAAATAAATGAGTGGATTATCAAACAGGATATTAAACATAATAGAAATTTTTTTTGAAAGTTATGGAAATTTTTTAAGAAAAGGTTAATGACAAAGTTGAATTAATTACCTGTATGTTTGAATATTTGTTAGCACTTTTTCACTAAACAAGCTTTTTTAACAAAAATGATTTTGTGAGTTAATTTTCGCCGAATAATTAGATTTTGTAAATCAAAATTACTAAAAAACTTTGTCTTTTTTAAAATTATTATTTGAAAACACAAATAATATTGTTCTCTGGATGTTGTTCGATTGGTTTACGAAAATTAACTAAATGAAACTGGTGTGCCCTTTGTAACACGTGTAAACACTTGAACGAGAGATGTGAGATTGTATGTGTGTGTTTTTATATGTCAGGGTGTGAATACTTAAATTGTTGATCTTAAAAGGAAGTCGATATTAATTGTTTGTCAAAAAGTGTAAAAAATTTAAATATGAATCATGTAATAGGTTGTGATCTGATCTAATGTTGACACTGTTAGAAACGTTTATGAGGATGAGACAACTCTCCGCGAATAACCTTCTAAAGATGCAACTTTCGTGATATAAAATCTTTGGAGTGAAATTAAATGAATGGGCGTTTTCTATAGAGTGTTGTACTAGGGTACTTTTGAAATTTTTTTGTTTATGGTGGACCACACTTAGTTCATGTTGTCTCATTCTCTTGTGTACATATTGGGAGGTTTGTCAATATATTGAAAAGCACAGTCATTACAAGAAACAGAATATACTACATTAGTATTGAGATTGGATGGGGTGGGGGATTTAATGTTCGTAAAGAATTGGTTGAAGGAGTGTAAGGATGAGCCTGATACTAAAATGTTTTCTTCTAACAAAATTTTGGCAAAATAATAATATAAATCTTCAACGTATGGTATGCTGCAGTAAATAAGATTGGTGTTTTTGATGTTAGTACTGGTATTGGGAGAATTAATTTGTGTTTTTAAGAAAGTTCGTCTTTTTTGAATAACTGAATGAATGAGATTTTTGGGTAACCATTTTCAATTAGAGTTATTTTTACTAGGGATAAATTTTGTGGATGGAAAGTTTGGTGAGACAACAAAATAGCATGGTCTGTAAGGGAAATAATAGTGTTTATCTTATAGTTTCTGGGACAGTATGAGGAATAGTGTAAGTATCTACCCGACCATGTCGTTTTTCTATACCAATTTGTTCGAATAAAGTTATTAGTGTTGTAAACGGATACATCTAAGAAATTAAGTCTGTTGTTATTTTGTAGTTCATGTGTGAAAATTATATTATTGTTAAATTATTGAAGAGATCTAGTACTGTTAACAATAAGTTACAATAATATAATTTTCACACATGAACTACAAAATAACAACAGACTTAATTTCTTAGATGTATCCGTTTACAACACTAATAACTTTATTCGAACAATTGGTATAGAAAAACGACATGGTCGGGTAGATACTTACACTATTCCTCATACTGTCCCAGAAACTATAAGATAAACACTATTATTTCCCTTACAGACCATGCTATTTTGTTGTCTCACCAAACTTTCCATCCACAAAATTTATCCCTAGTAAAAATAACTCTAATTGAAAATGGTTCCCAAAAAATCTCATTCATTCAGTTATTCAAAAAAGACGAACTTTCTTAAAAACACAAATTAATTCTCCCAATACCATACACTAACATCAAAAACACCAATCTTATTTACTGCAGCATACCATACGTTGAAGATTTATATTATTATTTTGCCAAAATTTTGTTAGAAGAAAACATTTTAGTATCAGGCTCATCCTTACACTCCTTCAACCAATTCTTTACGAACATTAAATCCCCCACCCCATCCAATCTCAATACTAATGTAGTATATTCTGTTTCTTGTAATGACTGTGCTTTTCAATATATTGGACAAACCTCCCAATATGTACACAAGAGAATGAGACAACATGAACTAGTGTGGTCCACCATAAACAAAAAAATTTCAAAAGTACCCTAGTACAACACTCTATAGAAAACGCCCATTCATTTATTTCACTCCAAAGATTTTATATCTTTAGAAGGTTATTCGCGGAGAGTTGTCTCATCCTCATAAACGTTTCTAACAGTGTCAACATTAGATCAGATCACAACCTATTACATGATTCATATTTAAATTTTTTACACTTTTTGACAAACAATTAATATCGACTTCCTTTTAAGATCAACAATTTAAGTATTCACACCTGACATATAAAAACACACACATACAATCTCACATCTCTCGTTCAAGTGTTTACACGTGTTACAAAGGGCACACCAGTTTCATTTAGTTAATTTTCGTAAACCAATCGAACAACATCCAGAGAACAATATTATTTGTGTTTTCAAATAATAATTTTAAAAAAGACAAAGTTTTTTAGTAATTTTGATTTACAAATCTAATTATTCGGCGAAAATTAACTCACAAAATCATTTTTGTTAAAAAAGCTTGTTTAGTGAAAAAGTGCTAACAAATATTCAAACATACAGGTAATTAATTCAACTTTGTCATTAACCTTTTCTTAAAAAATTTCCATAACTTTCAAAAAAAAAAAAATTTTCTATTATGTTTAATATCCTGTTTTGATAATCCACTCATTTATTTTTATCATTTTTATTTTGAACATATTATCATATTTCTGTACATTATTATATTTTTTACAATTTAATTCATTATTTAAGAAAAATCTATTTTCTTTTCCTAAACATATTGTTTGCAAAAATCTCATCAAGATCATGTTTCTTGACAGATGTCCTGAAGATGGAACGTACCTAGTTCCGAAACGTCGACAATAAACAAATAATTAAATAAAGAAATTGTTTTTTTAAAAACTTTTCTTGTTTTTTATTTTGTATTATTTTTGGATTCTTGTTCGAAACTCTACAAAATATACACAAATCCAAGACTCTACCATTCAATATATATCTATATTTATATATTGCTGATTTTGTGGAATATATAAATAAAATATTTCAGAATTTAGTTGAATTTCAAAATTATCAATATTTACAAGAACGTTACGGCTTAATATATAAAACTGTTTTTTCTCGCAAACGAGGCCACATTGATACGATTTGTATTCAAGTCGCGATCTTCCTCCGTGAAGACATTGCGAATGAAGACTTTAGTACATTAATTCCGTACCACTTGAACTTTCTTAGCGGCATATGCGCATTGTTTTACCCGAAAACTCAGAAGTTTATTTATTTTAATTTCACTCAGGGATTTCATTTGAATAAGGGTAAAGGAAACCCGTTGTCTCACTTGATAGCGAGATTTGTATCATAAGCTTTTAAACAGTTAAATTAGAACGTTGGATTCTTAGAGTCACGAAGAGTCAAAAGTCTTCAATCGCAGGATGCGTATAATGAAAATTTTCAATGACCTTACAGAGTCTTTTGTGAAGTTTTAGATTGGTTGGAAAGTGCTGTTTGTTAAGTTTAAGATGAAAGGAAATTTTTAAGTACATGCATAAATAATAGCTTGCAGCTTATATGGGTATATATACTTGATATTCTACTTGTCTAAATTTTGAGCAGTATCTTCTAAAACATGGTTCACTTTTTATTATTCAATTAATTGCGATTCATTGTTCTTAGTTGTGCATTATACAAGAATAACGAAATAGTCATTTAACTTATTATAATATAGTTAAAGCATAAGTTAGGTTAAAAAATTAGGTTAAAAAATAAGATATAAGAACTTTTTATATAATTTTCTAGTTTATACAAGTAATTAAATATAACTTGAAAAAGTTTATTAATTATTTCTAAAAATTATAAAATCGAACACATAATGATATTAACCTTTCTAAATATGAGATATATACACCGTCGATTACAAATAATTTAAATTGGTTCTTCAATATTGCATTTTACAAGCAAACTTTGCAATTATTTAAGTATGTGCTATCAACTGCCAAATTCGATGAAATTCCATAACTAGCTTTTCTCAAGACCACATATGAAGATGATATGATATTTGTTGTGATAAAATCGAATAAAAATATTTCAATTGATATATTTAAATAAGTTATAATTATTTATATTGAGTTGGATTACTTAATTAACTTCCCGTAGGGTAGTTATAGTAATGGGCCGAAAATCGAAAATGAAAATTTTTGCATTTCTCGATGTTTTGAAGGTTTCTGAACATTTTGGCATACCTTAGAAAAAATGGATATGTGTGTGTGTTTTGTATGTCCGCATTTTTAACTTCCCGTAGGGTAAGTTATAGTAATCGCAAAAAAATCGAAAATGAAAATTTTTGCATTTCTCGACGTTTCAAAGGTTTCTGAATATTTTGGCATACCTTAGAAAAAATGGATGTATGTGTGTGTGTGTGTGTGTGTGTGTGTGCGTGTGTGTATGTATGTGCG